GACAACGATATTTTTAAAAATTAAAATTAAAAATTAAAGAGTGTTTTAAGACTGAGAAAGCCATTAAATAAAGAAATTCCCCTGAAGTCGTTAAAATTTTCGCTTTCAAAAACGGCAAAAATATAAAATTAATTAAATAGTAAATACCGATAAATACCGATTTTTTAATACCTTCGATACCGATAAGCATTAAAATAATCTGGCAACGCTGGTAACAGGGGCGTGAATAAGGAACCGCGAATAAGGATACATAAAGCTATAAGGTCTTCTATAAAGTTGTTGTACTGGGATAGACCAACAAGCCCGTGTCATTGGATTCAGGTTTAATTAGGAACTACACCGCTAGAGGCACTTTACTTTTATGCAAGGTTCCAAATACTCATTTCAGATAAATAATAAAACCAAAAGCTGGTATGATGACATGTTTTACTTGTAACTTACAAGAAGAGGTTATAAAGTATGCGTTTGAAACATAAAACCTGTAAATTTTGCTTTCTATGAGTCACAATCAGCGATTTAATGATCGCTGAGTGAGTGAGTGAGTGTGTGAAAAATCGCTGATGTTGACTCTCATGAAGTGAAATAAACAGGTTTAATATGTCAAACACATTCTTTGCAACCTCTTCATGTATCTTACCAATTCAAAATATGATCATAGCATCTAATTATTTCTACAAAATGGTGAGTTGACAACCTGAAAGGAGCGGAATACCTAGCCCTGGTCCTCACAAGTTCCTACTTTACGCCTCCTCGAACCATATGATAACAAAAGACTACCAGCGGAAACATGGACACAGCTGGGTGGCGTAGCCTGGGCAATGTTGCCAGTCCGGCAATAGCAAAGTGAAGAGGTGCGACGCGGTAACCATAGTACGGTGATAGAGGAAATACTTCACCAAACCCGAGCGTCTGTTCACCATGGAGGTGCGGCTCAAAACGGCGTCTGTTCTCCATGTTAGGAGCGACTGATCACCGTCCTAGTGCCAGCGTGGGACTCTAAACAGAGCTGTGCACGATGGTCCCCCGGCGAGACAGTGGGTTGGGGCAGGCCCAACAAGCAGCCCTGGAAAAAAACAAAGTTGCAAATACCGAAGAAAGAAATACGGATCGGAACAATCGGCACAGACCTACGCGACGAAATAAGGACTACGGTTGGAAATTCGCAACATGGATCTTCAAATCGCTCGGCTTCCCGGGCTGCGATAGGTTAATCTATGACGAACTTCAACCACGCAACTTGGAAGTCGTAGCACTGCAGGAACTTTGCTGGACGGGACAAAAGGTATGGAAAAGCGGGCATCGAGCGGCTACTTTCTACGAGCTGGGAACCGGCTTTGTAGTGCTGGGTAAGATGCGCCAACGCGTGATCGGTTGGCAGCCGATCAACGCGAGGATGTGCAAGTTGAGGATTAAGGGCCGTTTCTTCAACTACAGCATCATCAACGGGAACTGCCCACACGAAGGGAGACCCGACGACGAGAAAGAAGCGTTCTATGCGCAGCTGGAGCAGGTGTACGACGGCTGTTCGCAACGGGACGTCAAAATCGTCATCGGCGACATGAACGCTCAGGTAGGACGGGAGACAATGTATAGACCGGCAATCGGGCCAAACAGCCTGCATGCCGTATCGAACGACAACGGCCAACGATGCGTGAACTTTGCAGCCTCTCGGGGTATAGTAGTTCGAAGTACCTTTTTCCCCCGCAAGGATATCCACAAAGCCACCTGGAGATCACCTGACCAACACACAGAAAACCAAATCGATCACGTTCTAATCGACGGGAAATTCTTCTCCGACATTATCAACGTCCGCACGTACCGCAGTGCGAACATAGATTCGGACCACTACCTAGTTGCAGTATGCATGCGCTCAAAACTTTCGACGGTGCATAACACACGTCGAAGTCGAACGCCGCGACCCAACATTGAGCAACTACGGGACGCCGGAGTTGCCCAGGACTACGCGCAGCAGCTGGAAGTTGCACTACCCACGGAAGAGCAGCTTGGCGCAGCTTCTCTTGAAGATGGCTGGAGGGACATCCGTTCAGCCATAGGTAGTACTGCTGCAGCGGCACTATTTAGGTGAAATGACTGGTTTGACGGCGAATGCAAACTGTTAGTAGAGGAGAAGAATGCAGCACGGGCGAGAATGCTGCAACACCACACGAGATTGAATGTGGAGCGATACAGGCAAGCGCGGAACAGACCGGACAACACACGGAAGTTCTACGAGAAGCTAAATAGTTCACGCAAAGTAATATGTAAGTAATGGCAGATTATGCACGAGTACGGACTTCCGGATAAACTGACGCGATTGGTCAAGGCGACGATGGATCGAGTGATGTGCGTTGTTCGAGTATCGGGGACACTCTCGAGTCCCTTTGAATCTCGAAGGGGGTTACGGCAGGGTGATGGACTTTCGTGTCTGCTGTTCAACATCGCGTTAGAAGGTGTGATCAGAAGAGCTGGGATAGACACGAGTGGCACGATATTCAGGAAGTCCATCCAGCTCCTTGGCTTCGCCGATGACATTGACATTATGGCACGGAACTTTGAGATGATGGCGGAAACGTACATCAGACTGAAGGCTGAAGCTAGACGGATTGGACTTGCCATCAACGCATCAAAGACAAAATACATGAAAGGAAGAGGTTCTAGGGAAGACGATATTAGCCTCCCACCCCGAGTTCAGATTGACGGTGACGAAATCGAGGTGGTCGATGAGTTCGTGTATTTGGGCTCACTGGTGACCACCCAAAATGATACCAGCAGAGAAATTCAAAGACGTATTATGGCAGGGAATCGTGCCTACTTTGGACTCCGGAGGACGCTCCGGTCGAATAGAATTCGACGCCGCACGAAGTTGACTGTCTACAAGACGCTGATTAGACAGGTGGTCCTCTACGGCCACGAGACCTGGATTATGCTCGTGGAGGATCAACGCGCCCTTGGTGTTTTCGAACGGAAGGTGTTGCGTACCATCTACGGTGGAGTGCAGATGGATTACGGAACGTGGAGGAGGCGAATGAACCACGAATTGCACCAGCTGCTGGGAGAACCATCAATCGTCCACATCGCAAAAATTGGGCGACTACGGTGGGCTGGGCACGTCGTAAGAATGCCGCACGACGACCCAGTGAAAATGGTTCTAGAAAGCGACCCAACAGGAACAAGAAGAAGAGGCGCGCAGCGGGCAAGGTGGATCGACCAAGTAGAAGGTGACCTGCGGACCCTTCGCAGACTACGAGGCTGGCGAACTGTGGCCATGGATCGAGTAGAGTGGAGACGACTTCTTCGGACAGCAGACGACAGCAAGGCCTTAGCCTGATTGGTAAGGTAAGTATCTAATTATTTCATAATTAAAAAAAAAAAAAAACATTGTTTTAGCTGAAATGAGTATTTGCAACCTTGCTTTTATGTTACTTATGACGGGGGCGCTATAATATATGGATCTTAGGACCAACATAGAATATTTCGTGATCCTGTCCATATAGGAAGTTACTGTTTTCAGCAAAGTTTTCAGAACGAACCAGAAAAGGGATTATGTGTATAGTCCAGCAATCCATTTCGGACGCCATTTTAAAATCCAAGATGGCGACCATCGGTTCAAGAAAAACTGTCAAATACCATACAATATGGGTATTTTCGGAAAGGGGATGACGTATAGAGGCCGGAAATCGATGCCAGGCGCCATCATTTAAGATGGCGGTCATGAGTTCAAGAAAAAATCTAACATAAGCTACAATATGGGTATTTCCGGAAAGGGGCCGACGTGTACAGGGTGTTCAATAAGTTCGTTGTGTAGGTGCACACCAAATGCAGTCAGTCTGTGTATTGGTATTGGTGTCAGTTTTAGCCTCATATATAGGCTAACCGAGGCGCACGGTGTCGACTTGCTGTCATTTGTTGTTTGTTTACCGCGCACGATGAAGGAGTACCGCTACTGCCAAACTGATACTTTCGCATCCAGCCGAGGTCGGTGGGATTTTTCTGAGGCATAAAAATCTCTGGTCAAGTCTTCCTTCGGAAGGGAAATAAAGCCATTGGTCCCGGCCCATGTGTGTTTGAATAGGTGCGATATCCTACGCAGGTGTGGAAGCTGCCTTCCTGCACATTCGATTGCCGTCAATGGATGGCAATCGATGTCCGTCGGTGATTGACACTAGATTGCGGAACAAAGACCGACGTTAAATAAAGGAATGAATAAGAAGAAGATACTTTCGCGGCACGCAGGTCAGGAGTTCGTGCTATATATCTTATAGTCAGTTACTCCTGCCGGTGAAAAACAGAAGAAAACTTTCGACGAAGCGCATCACGGGAGAGATGAAAGTCAAAAACAGATGCAACTCGGTTGAATGTTCTCTGCAGTCCGCAAATCGCACCGTATGCTCCATAATTTGTTCGACGTAGAGGCAGTCTTAGCATAAGGTTATTACGAAGCGGTCGGGGTTGAACATTCAGGTTAATTTGCCTCAGGATAGTCTCGCAATCTGTCCTTCCTTGCAGGATATCTGCCACGGTTAGCGCTCTGCTTGTGTCTCTTCTAGTCCGGAGAAGTTCTAGGTCGATAAGATGACAACGACTTTCGTAACTGGGTAATCGAAACGGATCATTCCACCCAACGCAAAACGAAGAAAGCGACGTTGAACAGATTCAATTCTCTCGGCACCGTTGTTGTAGTTTGGGTTGCAAACCGCTGAAAAATACTCAAGCGTCGATCGAACAAGCGTGCAATAGAGAGATTTTAGATAGTAGATATCAGTGAAGTTTTTAGCTATCCTAAAAATGAACCCTAAGGTTATTAACGCCTTATCAACAACATATGCAATGTGCGAATCCAAGATCACACCCAAGTCTTTCACCTGATTCACGCGTTCGATTGCCGAGCCAAGCAAGTCATAGCTAAATAATATCGGTTGTTGTTTTCGTGAGAACGTAATAGCGGAGCATTTGGCTGGGTTCACTACCATTATGTTTAACCTGCACCAACTAGCGAATACATTCAGTTGACGTTGAAGAAAGTGACAGTCAGCAATGGAGCAGAGTCATGTGCATATGATAACCGAGGAGCTTCGATGACCAGATGCACGTCGTTGAAGTACAGTATAAATGTGGTTTCCCTGATGTGGCGAAGAAGCTAGCTGATCTGCAATATCCTATGGTACATGTGATTCAGCCTCACATAATGTAGTTTCAGAGGAAGCGTGCGGTACTTTTTTTTTGTAAAATATTGTTTATTTAGGTCTTGCAATAAATAACATATTCAAGATATTTAAAAAATATATCAATCTTCTAGAGTCAAAATGAAATCTAGCTCGCCTACATCGATTCTTTTATTAATATTCACATTGACAAAGTTGATGTACTTAATGAACGTTTTTAAAATATGATTTCTTTTCGCTGTTGTCATGTTACCCAAGATTGGCCGTACAAGATCGTCGAAGCTCAGCCTCTGCCAGCCGCCGAGCGTCGTCGTCAATTTTCGCTGGATGTGTGCCCAAGCTGCAGCAACTCGAGGGCATTCGCAAAACTTATGTTGCAAAGTCTCGATTCGTACCGCACAGTGCTGACAGTTTGGGTCGTTTGCACGGCCGATGACGTTCATCAGTCTACGGTGCTCCGTTTTCTCGTTCACTAGCAGGTAGAGATCAGTACGCGGGCTCGACGATAGCCTTCTCGATGATATGTTCATCCAGATGTTTTCCAATTGATACCTTAATGGTTTCGTTCCACTCTGGGTAGCTCAATTTGTTCCAAGTAGAAACGATGGATTTGATCGCTGGAGGGGTTTTGTTGGATGTGGTGTGGAAATAAGGGAATTTGCTGTGAGAGAAGTTTTAGGCAAGGAAGATCGGCGGGGGGAGGAATATTTTGGGCTAGAAGGGACTGATAATAGGGAAGGGAAACGATCTCCTGCAGGTGACGATTGACTAGAAGTGCTTTGCATTTGATCGCCGGCAGTTGCAGTTTCAATCCACCCTGCTCTCTGCTGCGCGCCAACTGCTGCATTGGGACTCGTGCGGGTAGCCCACGAAAAAGGAAAGTCCCCATCGTTGATGTCAGCTTCGCCGTGTGAGCACATTGCGGTGGAATAACAGACGAGAGGTACCACACCTTCGCTGTAATGAAGATGTTCAGCAGTAGCACTTTCTGCTGCATGGAAAGGGAGCGCATGTTATGCAACCATATGAGTTGCGAGATCCTCGATACTAAAGCGTCCCAGTTTAGTTTAACCATCAGTGCACTGAGTTGGTGAAAATAACGCCCAGTACCTTGACATTCTCCTTTGTCTGCAGCCCTGGTATCGTCAGTGGATCTCCATTGATGAAACCAACATTGATCGCCACTGTTTTCAGCGGATTTAGCTTTGCCCCGGATACGATCTCGAAGCTACCAAACAGCTGATAAATACGGTCTATCGTGTGTTTTGGGGTGGCAATCACCGTGATGTCATCAGCATACGCAACGCAAAGGTCACCAGCGCACACACGCTCCATCCGTGTGAGGAGGGGATGAAGATAGAGCACGAACAGCAGCATCGACATCGGGTCTCCCTGACGTACGGTTCTATACGGAACGGCTCTGAGAGGCACCCATTCACTAGCAGCCGTGATGAAGAGGCAGCAGCGACTCGAGAGAGCCAACAGACGAAACCCTGGTCGAAGCCCAGAGAGAGCAAGGTCCGATGCAGGAACTCATGAGAGACCCGACTGAACGCGTGGTCAAGATCGAACGAGATCAACTTCCCCTTCTGCTTCCTCGCGATTAGCTTGGTGTGTAGTGTAGCTTGGAAAATAGAACGGTCGGTATTTGCGCATTTTTGAGAGTCGCTCAGGACTCGATGGATCCGCAGTACTCGTTCCAGGCGGGCCTTCATCACGCGGGAGAGGATTTTAAAATCAACGTTGAGCAGGCTGATCGGACGGTATGCTCTTGCTGTCCCATCCCCACCTCGCTTTTTAACCAACACAATAGTGCCATCCGCGAATTCAGATGGGAGCTCATTTCAAGACCAACAATTGAAATGGCCTTAACTCCATTTTGTAAACAAACCTTGTAAGGCCATTTTCTCGCGAACCGAAACCTTCATTCGCAAACCTAAACCACAATCGGGTAGAGGAGAATTTCCCCTACCTGTTCTTTATGTTGGTTTGCCTTTGCGGACTTCGGTTCGCGAGAAAATGGTCTTACAAGGTTTGTTTACAAAATGGAGTAAAGGCCATTTTAATTGTTGGTCTTGATTTGTCATAGCTTCATTAATAACGAAGTAGAGCTCTCGATCGATGACGTCGAAAGTTCGTAGGTAGAACTCTACCGGCAAACCATCAATCCCCGGTGATTTACGTTTTTGCGACGTTCGGATGGAGTTTTTCAACTCGTCAATGCTGATCTCTGCCATTAGAGCTGCGTTAGCTTCGTCGTTCTCGGGTACGGCTCTCTCAGTTTCGAACATTTCTTCCCCCACCTGCCTCGTCTCTTCCGCCGCATACAGGTCCCTGAAGTATCGAAACATGTATTGCTCGATCTCCAGAGAGCCTTGTGTTTGCTCTCCTCGTTCGTTCTGCAGTTCTGTTATGGTTGTTTTTTTTTTACGTCGTCTATCACCCAACTGGAAAGTGGATATGCTCTCGCCGGCTATAAACGTCTCGTTGATGCGGATGAAGTTTTGCGCAAACTGCCGCTGCAACGTGAGCATTTGTGCTTTTACGCGGTTGATGGTCACCAGCATGGTGGGATTCTGGTAATAGCCATCATTAGCGAGTCGTAATTGCTCGTAGAGTCGTTGTTGTTCTGCGTTGAAAGTCCTGAAAACTTCACTTGAGCCACCATAACCATAACCACCAGTAACCGCGTCCTTGTTCGCGGCCAAGGTGGGGAAGGCAAATGCGCGCTGTTAGCGCTTTGTGATCCGTGAATAAGCATACGTGCGTGGCAGCACTCCGCAGATGCTCGCAAAGCCCAGCGCTGACATACATGCGGTCTAGCCTAGATGCCGCATTGTGTGTGATGTACGTGGGTGCGGGGGTTGTTGGGTACAATTTCAGCCACAGATCGTGAAGCTGTAGCTGCCGTACGGTCGCTTGGAGAGCCGGGCTTGTATTGGAACTCGTTGAGTCGCTCGGACGTAGCACGCAGTTAAAATCTCCAGCGAGGATGACGTTTTGAGTGTTGTACCGAAGGTAGTACGCGATCGTGCCGTTGAAAAATCTTTCTCTTTCCGCACGAACAACTGTCCCCGATGGTGCATATACGTTGCAGAGCGTCGTGTTTTGCACCCTCAAAGCGATGAGACGACCATCCAGACTCTTCTCCACATGCGAGAATTGTATGTGGTCTTTCAGCGCGATTGCCGTACCCCGCCTTGCTTGGTCCACATTGCAGATAACGTTGAAGCCAGGGATAGAGAGTTGCTCATTCTCCACCTCCTGGAGGAAAACGATATCCAGTTCCAGTGTTCGTACAAAGGTTCGAAGAGCGTCAATCTTCGTTGCGTTCGTAATATTGTTGATGTTGATGGTGGCGAGGTTGTAACTGGAGAACTCAGCCATTAGGACGGTTGGTTACTCCCATCTCGCTTGTCGTCGCAGTCGTCATCCACGCGAGGCTTCTTGCCTGGTGGTCGAGTGCGGAGGTGTCTTCTGGAGCTGGATGACCCTACAGACGAATCTGTTTCGTTGCCATCGGACTTACCACTAGCAGTTTTGCGATCCACTCCGCCGCTAGCGAGGGGTTGTTGACTTGTATAGGGAATCAACGACCCGCTGTCCGATGGGGGAATCGAAGCCGAGGTAGGGGCTAACATGGGGAAATTCTGTTCGGTCAGAACTGGTGGTAACAGCTTCTGTTGTTGACGTTGGGGAATTTGTTTCGGTGGTGGCATGGTAACAGCTTTGGCCGAGATTGGTTCGAACCGAGGCCGGGAAGCTTGGTTCGAGGTCGTTTTAGTTAGGTTCGCATTGGGAGCGGTTTGGTTTGAGTTTGTGTTGGTTTGGTTCGCACTATAGTCGACTGGACTCGTTTTTTGCGACGGCGTAGAGCCTCACCTCCACTGCTCCCTCCTCCAGTGTGATTTTCAACGGATATTTTTTCCCGTCGACCGTAATTTCGTGTTTGTTGACGTGTTCCTCACAGATTCGTTGCGCCAACGCTAGGTCGACGACTTTCACGAAAGAAACTCCGAGGGTTCTGCTGTTCTGAATCCGTAGCACTTCACCTTACTTCAGACCCAATATGGTCGCACAGAATTTGTGAACTTTGGCATTGTCTGGTTTCTTCGGCACGTTCGCAAAATCTATGCGAAAGGTGTTTTCTCGACGGCCCATCGCGAAGTCGTTTGGACGCGCAGCGACACGTAACGGCTCAGCGATGCGCAGAAAGAGAAAAAAAACACAGTTGGCACTGGTAATTAGCTTGTGTTCGACTTCCACAGAACTGTAGCAAAAATACATCTGTTCAGCGCGGAAGTTGAGCGCTCACTGACCGTAAATCTTCTCAATGGTGCTCTCTTGATTGACTTCAACCTACGTAGCTCTCTCGTCGGCCAGGGAGGGTGAGACACTTTGTGGTGAGTTCTTTTCGGGACGCGTCTGTCAATGGCATATGCCATCTGAATCAAGGATGTTCTCCCATACCATGCTAGACAATACATCTATGATGCTACGGTGGTCAGCTTTACGGAATTCATAAGAAACCGTAGCAGGATAATCGTCGAAATCACACAAGAGTTTGTCCTCAACAGTGACAATGATGATGAACTGCAGTCCAAAATGATCGGCAGTGGGCACCGACGTTGGCCAGCATCCCTTCGTCGCAAATTAACATCCCGCGATTCCAGAGCGCCGCGTCGGTGATGGTTTGGGGGGCGTATCCAGGCGTGGGAAGCTCCCACTGGTGTTTATCGAGAAAAACGTGAAAATCAACGCCGCGCACTATAAGACCGAGGTTCTGGAGAAGGTGGCGTGGGATCGGAAGAATTTGACTGATTTTCTCGATAAGACTTTGTGGCCTCCCAGCTCCCCGGACCTTAATCCCCTGAAGTTTTATGTATGGTCGTACATGCTGACCAAGCAGAGCGAACATCAAGTGAGCACTATGGACCAATTTAAGAAGCTCATTTCCAAGATCTGGGACGAGATGCCGACGGACCAGGTACGTGCCGTGTGCGATTCTTTTGAGAAACGTCTCAAGCTCGTCATACAGCACAAAGGAGGTGGGGGGGGGGGGGTGCTCCCAGCTAATATGTCGTAAAGGTTCATGATAAACATTGCTTCAATAAAAATTGACTCAGAAAAGAATTTCTTGTATTTTCATTTTTTAACACATTTTTAAACTGTATTCGAACTTATTGAACACCCTGTAGAGGCCGAAAATAGATTCCAGGCGTCATTTTGGAATCCAAGATGACGGCCATCGGTTCAAGAAAAACTACCAAATACCCTACAATATGGGTATTTCCGGAAAAGCAACAACGTGTAGAGAAATCGATTCCAGACGTCATTTTGGAACCCAAGATGGCGGCCATCGGTTCAAGAAAAACTCTCAGATAGCCTACAATATCGGTATTTCCGGATAGGGAATAACGTGTAGAGGCCGCAAATCAATGCCAGACGGCATGTTGGAATCCAAGAGGGCGACCATCGATTCAAGAAAAACTGTCAAATTCTCTACGATATGGGTATTTCCTGATAGGGGACGACGTGTAGAGGCTGTAAATCGATGCCAGACGCCATTTTGGAATCCAAGATGGCAACAATCGGTTCAAGAAAAGCCCTCAAATACCACAATATGGGTATTTCCGGAAAGGGAACGACGTATAAAGGCCAAAAAAAGGGTTATCTATCATGTTTTGCTTAACGCGAAAGGGATGATGAAGCCGTTGGTTATCAACAATGTCGCGAATCCAAGGGTCATTAAAATTTACAGAAAGCGAAACTCCCTGTGCATTATCGTAGCAACAAGAAAGGCTGGATGACCCTAAGAGAAGAGGTGACAATACGGGGGCGAAAATGAATCACTTTTCTGTCAAACGTGAACCAGCTCCTGATTGGCCGATTTCATGTGCGTAAGATAGAGATAGAGATTTGAGGACTAGATAAACAACTCAAGCTGAACATTGCATTAGGTCCTAAGTAACATTGACAGATTCTCTTCGTCTACTTTCTCTTTGCATCCCCACGGCCATGTGAAGACATTCCAAGGTATTTTTTAGCACACAGATCGATAAAAGAAGCTTTTATCTAGCATCTAATACGACAAACACATCAAGAAACGGTTCTGTGCTCAAGTTATTAACGAAAGAGAAAGTCGACGAAGAGAATCGATCAATGTTACTTAGGACCTAATGCAATGTTCAACTTGAACTGCTTCAAGGCTTTGCTGCACCTTGATAACGCTCCGTCGCATCCGCCCACCATAAGCAATCCCAACATAATGCTTCTATACATGCCACCAAAGATCACGTCTTTGATTCAACCCCTTGATCAAGGCATCATCAAAAATTTCAAGCTGAAGTATGTCAAGAGAAGCTACAGTTTTTGTGTTGTTGCGGTCTTCGTCAAGAAAGGAATCAGATTCTACACGTTGCCGAGGCTCTAAGTGTGGAGATGGAATCGCCCACTGCAAATGTCCAGTTCATCGTTGTTCACTGCCCTCGGCAACAACGGATTAGCAAGCAAATTCAAGAACGAACTCGAACTGACCGCCATCACTCGTTCTAGCTCCCGATTCATCGTTGGGGGCCCGTCATGCCCGTCATGAAGCTTGGCGGAACTACCAGCGGAATCGGAACGGATGTCAACAGTTTGACCACGCACAACATGGACTGTACACTGTGCAGTTTCCGGACGAACCAACTTCCATCTTTCCGGCAGGAAATCCCTCCACCCTGACTACCACCATGTCAACTGGATGCAGTTCGGACGAATGGTGGTCAGAAACATCGGGAAAAAACCCACCGCTCGACACCGTAGATCACATCGACCGGGCGTTGGAAGGACTCCAACAGGCCATATCCGTGGCTAACGAGGCATGTGTTCGACAAGTTCCTGTGAGGGGTAAGTTTGTTCTTATTGATTCCCACACCCAATTACTAATTCGCTTGAGAAATATGCGTAGACGCCAGTTTCAGAGGACTGGAGATCTGGACAAAAAACGTGAAATGGCCGATCTGAACAGGCAGATTGCTACCAGAATGGATTCACTCCGAAACGAAAGCGCGCTTGTTGACCGAAAACTGTGTCTCCGAAGAAAACAAAAGAGTTAACTATATTGATAACACAGTATATTTGCTGATAAAAAAAAAGTAATTTCTAATCTTATGACGATAAGTTGCTCAAAAAAGCAACCCGTAATTCCAAACACGAATCCACTTCCAATGCAATGCCTTTTGTGGATTCGTAGCAAAGCAAAGTTCTGCTAAATAGTTACCTAAAAATGCTACCTAAATCGTTCCCAAGCAGAGTCGGACGACTGATCAAAACCGAAATTACAACCACATTTTCTTAGGCGGGTCCCGTATCCAGTTCTTGCTACTGATTGTGTCCAAGTCTTAGGTTACCAAATTAAAGTTATTCGTACATTTCAGTGGCGTTTCCTTAACGTTAATCTACCTGTAAACCAACTCTCAAAACATAAACAATTACCAAAATATTGCTTGCAATGGATATATATCGAGTAAACTAGAAGATTAGAAAAAGGATGCTAATGAACCGTAACAAAAATAATATAGGAGAAATGGATGTAATGTCGACCTAAATGCCCCTAATTTGGGCCAATCGACTAAATTTTCAATAGCGACCAAAAATATCCATTAGTATCATCCCAATGACGCGTTCATCTAGATAAAATTGATAAATAGCAGATTTTTAGCGATGGGCCCAATCTTAGATCCATAGGCCAACATTAGAGCCAATTATAATAAAATGTAATGCAAAAATTACTAGAAAATCATTGTTTAGAAATTTATAATAAGCCCTCACAGTTCCTCTGTTTGCAGAACAAGATACTATGATCAGAATTGCTCAGCCTGCATGAAGCAGCCGATTTCATCATGGAAGTTATATTACCAACCAAGAATTAATGGTTTGAGGTAGAGTCGGTGTATAATTATACACCGACTCTAGTTTGAGGCATACTGAAGCATTATGAAAAAAAGAGATAATTTTTTGAGTTCCTTGAAAGAACAAAGCATTTTAAAATACAGATCAAGACGAAAAATATCAAAAACTCTGGAGCTACATTTTAGTTAACATTAAATTAAACAAACTCAATATTTTACGGAATCAATCCAATTCCCGCTTCACTGGGCACCCTGAATGTTGTTTACGACCCTACGGGTCACGTGACTCGCGCATCAAGTTCTCATCCCTTGTGATCGGGCAACAACTATCTACATTTATGTATTCATGCCAAAAAAAAAAACTTACCCATCCGGCGAGAATTCCAGATTGTACGCGCCACCGTACTCGCAACTGTTGCATGCATTCGGTGGATCGTTCCAGCTTTTCTTCGGTTCCAGCGAGTAGTAGATCGCCCGGTGAACGGAATCCGTGTCGCCGAACCGCGCCGGAAAGCCAGTTTCTCGTCGCCGCAGCCACGAATGCAGTGTCATTTCTCTCGTTTTGTTTATTTTTTGCTTCTCCTATTGCTGCCAGTAACACTGGCAAACTGTTGTTACGCGAACCGCAGATACCCCTCCCCTTCCTTCGTACTTTTTTTATTTTTTGCACACGAAGAAACCACAACGCCACTCAGGCAACGGCAAGGGGATTGCGGTAGCAGACAGCACCAGCTACCGGGGAGAAAGTCTATCAACTACTTATAACTGTACACTCCGGAGGAGACGGCGATGAAGAGAAGAAAAAAAAAGCACTGGAGCGTTTCCCACTAGTGGCACTTTGCACGAGCCAAATGGGGACTTTTTTCCCTGAAACACTTCCTGCATTCACTAAGGGTGGCAATTTGTTTCACGAAATCACTTCAATTTCCCGGGAAAATGCCAAAAATTAACTCCAGCCACTATCAGAACAAAACGAGCGATGAAAATTTTTATTGACTATTTTTTGACAGCAGCTACTTTTTCTTCCTGGATGCTCCTCTCACTTCGCTTCCATCGCATCACACTCTTCACGCGAGCGGGGCAACTCCCGGATCGGGCACAGATGTCAAAGCAGACCTCCCCGATGTTGTTTACGTTGCACTTAACTAGATGGTCGCGATCTGCAACGTAACTTTTATTTATTTAACTTAAAACGAATGTAAAACCACTTTTCCCGATGGCAGCTCGTTTTGGAGAGGTGCTGCTGGATTGAAAAATTAAACGCGAATGAATCTACGAAACGATGCTGTTCGCATCGCGAGTTGAACGATTCTGACTTCTGAGAAGTTGTTGTATGTTTATTTTCCGTTTCACCGTCAGCAACCAACATGCCAGCGCACCTCTCGCGATGCTACAGTTGCCACACCTTGCTATCGTGTGACAAACTATAAAAATGTGTTGCGTTGCAGAGGGTATAGTGACTGAAACAAAACGGTTTGTGATTTTTATTATTTAAAATTCACAGTAAAAACAAGTTGTTGAATTCAATTCAAATAAAACACATCACCACACAGAAAAAAAAAGTTGTTGAATATTACATCCAAACTGCTGCAACCAGGTCAATCTATCGGTTGTGCAATATAACGTTGTACGATGTACATCGATTTTGCGAACATTTACATTTTGTAGCTGCACATTTACATATATTGTAGCTGCACATTTTAGATCCATTGATGTAATATTGTAGAAGCACATTTTACATCCATTGATGTAATATTGTAGCTGCTTTTTGCTATTAGATCATTATTTCGTACATCAGCTTGAATAACATTGATCGATATTTTATTTTTTTTGCTATGCAAAGGGGTATTCTGTAAACTAGTTGAAAAACGCAAATATTAAATTAGAATATCAAATTAAACAAAGATGAAGAGCCAGGTAGGCTAATCAATTAATATGATAAATCAATGTACTACCATAATCAACAGAAATAAACATAATTTTACTACTACTACAAGTTGTTGAATATTACATCGAAACTGTTGCACCCAGGTCATTGGCGTTGACGGCTTTTTACTCCTACACGGTAAGAAAAAAGTACCCAAAAGTGAGTTCTTTTCACTCATCTCGGAACTATAATGCAGGAACCCAAAAGTAGGTAAAGAGGGTCATAGTAGTTTTCATTTACTTGTGAGCAATTCGTATGGAACTTTCCACTTCACTGATATAATTCGACACATTTTTATTGGCGAATTTCCATGTAAAATTCCACATGATTTTCATGTGTCCACTCAAAAGTACACCTGAAATTTATGAGTCAAATGAATAGTATGTGTGGTTACATATGAATTAATCATGTTTTGTTGTTTTTGACATCATCCACATCCAGAGGGCCATTCACTTTCGAATGTATGGGAATGGTAGGAAACGATTTGGAAATGCATGAAAATTTTCAGTTTTTATTCATTATCGTCTTTATGGGCAGTTTTAGATGCACAAAAATTGCACGAGTACATTACTATGGTGATAAGGTAAACGCTCGTCTACCACCGATTCCTAGTCCTGACTACTTCAAACTAGGGGAACAGGATTTTTCAGTAATCCAAGGAACACATCTAGTCCTAGTTACTTTTTATTGTTTATTGTTTATTGAAAAATTCAACTGACAATTACTGTCTAAATGAATAAAACTTAAACTAAATAGTTACGGTCAACGGTACGGAAAAGGCCAAGTAGCCGATGACGAAACACGTCAGCTGATACATTGAAGTCGAACATATAAAAAAAGTTGTTGAATTGCCGGCTGATTGCTCGAATTGGCTCGTGTTGTGTATAATTCCGGCTCCGTGGTTCCAAAAACAGAAAGTCGCGTTGACGAAGAGACCTCTCAGGGGCATACATATTTAGCTGTGACAGTAGTGTTGGGCAGTCAATGTCACCCGTAAGCGAGGGGGACGACTCTATCTACGATGCAGAAAAGATTGTGTTTTGCTGTGGCTAGCTGCGCGCACGCTTAGTAGATATAAAGAAGATTGATAACGATTCTGAAGATTTCCTGCAAAAAGATGATGCACGATGCAAGTAGATGCGACAAATGAAAGAAGATTTTTCGAAGGTTGATTAGCTAGTGTGAGATTTGTTGAGCATCTAAACTTGAGATTAAGATGTGTCGCCCCCCTCGCCCGTAAGCAGCTTTCCAGCGAACATAGCTTGAGCGATCGTCCGTCTCACCTCTAATGGCTCGATTCCCAGGAGACGGCAACGCTCCTCGTACGGTGGCAAGTTCGTTGGGTCACGCCCGAGGTCACGCCAGTTGAGGAAACGAAGAGCATAACTCACAAACTTGCGTTGAACGGATTCAATTCAAGTGATCCAGCTAGCATGGAAAGGGCACCAAACAACTGAAATTGACTCCAATAAGGATCGCACAAGCGAGCAGTAAAGTGACCTGAGACATAGCGGGTCACGAAACTCGTCGGCAATTTTGAAAATAAAGCCCAATTGTCGATTAGCTCTGGAGATGATCCCCCTTATTCTGCGAGTCACGTGACTCTCTGTCACCGGTGAGGTGACAATTGTCACCTCGTGTGAGGTGACTCTCCATGTAAATCAAATGGAGAGTCACCTCACACGAGGTGACTATTGTCACCTCACCGGTGACAGAGAGTCACGTGACTCGCAGAATAGGGGGGGATGTCATTGTAGTGGATTCTGAAAGTGAGTCTGCAGTCCAAGGTAACGCCGAGATCCTTTATGTGCTCTACACGAGCAAGACAGCGTCCGTAGAGAACATAGTCAAACATGATTGGTTCGATTTTTCGGTGATAGGAAATAATGTTACATTTTTCTATGCTTAGACTCATCAAATTTCTTGAGCACCAGTCAGCAAAAATACCTAACATATTCTGGAGATCCCAGCAGTCCGAGAGGCTTTTAATAATTTTGTAGATTTTCGTATCGTCTGCATAGAAAACGCGACATCCTGATGGTATCAGCAAGGCGACATCGTTTAAAAAAATCGAAAATAGTAGCGGTCCTGCCTTGCGGGACTCCCGAGTTGTTTGAGAAAACATCCGATTCAGACGCGCCAATCTTGACATGTACATAGCGATTCACCAAGTAAGATCTGAACCAATCCACAGCAGTTGACGAGATGCCAAGTGTCTCCAGCTTGGCCAGCAAGATATTATGGTCCACCGTGTCAAATGCAGCTTTTAGATCCATATACGCAGTATCGTCTTGCCATCCTGAATCCATGCATCGCAGACAGTTAGAAGTGAACTGCACCAGGTTCGTGGACACGGAGCGCTTCGGGTAGAAACCGTGTTGTTCTGTATCGATATAATTTTTGCAGCGTGCGAACAGAGCACCATTTATGATAATCTCGAACAGTTTTGAGCAGGCACACAGGGAGGTGATTCCACGATAATTTATGACATTCCGTTTATCTCCTTTTTTGTGCACTGGGAACAGATAAGAAAGTTTCCAGCGGTAGGGGAACTCACATTGCTGTGCCGAGAGATTGAATAGCCTCGCAAGTGGAAGGTAGAGATTGGCTACACAACGTTTTAGAACTGATGACGGAATGCCGTCAGGTCCGGAGGCGAACGAGAGCTTCAGTTTGCGTGTTGCGGCTATCACCATGTCTTCTGAAATGCGCGGAATAACGAAACTAAACACATCACGTGGCATCCCAACAGCAGCATCCAGCACTTGTGTTGGCGAAGCGGAGAAATCGTTGAACACTTGCTTGAAATGACGAGCAAACAAGTCGCATTTTTCTCTTTCACTATTAGCCGAGTCATTCCCGAGAAACATGGAACAAGGCAACCCGGATTCCTTCCGTTTTGAGTTGACAAACGACCAAAAACTTTTCAGATTCGTGCAAAGGTTCGCTTCCGTGCGTCTCACGTGTCGATTATAGAGAAAACGATTGTAATTTCGATAACTACGACTCGCAAAATTGAACAGTCGTTTGTAGTACGGCGAGCGAGAGTTACAATACTTTCGGAGGGCGGCAGAGCGTTGACGTTTTAGCACGCGTAGGCATGGGTTAGACCATGCAGGCTTTAGCGGAGGTCGTCGAGCTGGAACAATGCGGAAAATAGCATCTTCCAGTGCAGCACTAAAAAAATCCACTGCATCATTCACGATAAATTGCCAATCAATTTCCGCAAGCGCATTGTTCAATGCAACATAATCGGCCCGGCGAAAGTCCAAAGAGTAGCACTCAGATGACGGCGTAAAAAGAATCGGCGCAGGTAAACTAAATGACACGACGAGAGCGGGATGATCGGCATCTAGATCAATCAGTGGCTCGACCGGCAAGGAAACAGAAGTGTCCGGTAGTGCGGAATCATTTGCCAGGACAAGATCTAGCAAACGTCCATTTCGGTTCGGAAAAGTATTCACTTGTGTGAACCCGTAAAAGTTAAAACCGTCCAAAAGAGCACAGCAAGCAACCGGCATATGCGAAAGCAGTGGATCAATTAATGGTGTGCCACTGTCTGTAAAGCGCCACTGCAGACCAGCTTGATTGTAGTCACCAAATACGAAAGCGGGAGAGCAGGGACTTAATTGTGACGAAATTGACCCTAACGATTCCACATGCTCACGGATGATAGTGCAGTCGTTTTTGCGGTCGGGAGGCAGGTAGATTGCGCCTACACTAAGCTTGCTTTGTGGAAGTTCTACGACAATCCACAGCTGTTCCAGTTGACTGGAAATGGGTGACGTACTTACGTTGCTGGCTAGTCTAGTAGATACTGCAATCAGGACTCCGCCACCGCGCGATTTTTGACTATTTAGGGCAGACCGGTCAGTTCTGAAGACGGAATAGAGTGACCCGAAAAGTTGCGATGAGTAAATTCGGTCGTCCAGCCACGTTTCCGTCAGCACAATCAAATCATATTCGGCCTCCACAACAGCCAGGAAAAACAAGTCGATTTTAGTCCTCAGCCCACGCACGTTTTGGTAATAGATCCGGAGACCATTCGAGGAGCAATCACGGGAACTAGAAATCGAAAGGACATCAGGTACCGAAAGCTCGGAATCGCTAACATACTCGCCTGATGTTGCAGGCCGGAAGCCCCCGATACCATCTTCGACCACAGGACCGGGACGATGACGATGGCGGATGTCTGCAGCAAGCGCGACTGGGTCGGGAGGTTCGGAAGCTTCCTCAGTGCCTGTTTTAGGGTGTCCCGGATCCGAGAAAGAGCAGGTGGCGGCATAAACCTGCTGGTAGTTGGCAGGACGGATGCATGGACATGATGTGGCTAGTGTAGAGATC